TGTACCGGATCTGTTTCTAAGATCAGTCTTAGCAATGGAAACACTCCCGCTGTTGGCCTCATTAATATAGATCATGCCATACATTTCATTCACAGATTTAAAAACGCAGCGCAAAATGAGGCCGATATTGTATCCCACACATACATATATGTCTGTGGTAGTACGCCTTGTACTTCTGTAAACACACACATGCATTTTCCTCTATAAGTATAGCGTAAAATTGGGAAACACACTGTGTAACAGTTCTGTATCTCCCACAGACTGAACATAAATAGTTGTAGCGCACCAGAGATTTGACTGCAGAACAGTGATATTTGCCTGTGGGTTTTTTTTCCCCGCTGTCCCCATGATGTGAGAGTTCCTTGCCTGTGCAGAAATTTACAGGAATTGTCAGGGAGATTTTTGCAGAGAGCTTGGCACTGGCACAGGGATCAGAGCAGTCTCCTTGTTCAGCATTCGGAAAAACATAGCTGGAGCCGTGTATTTTTTGAGTGACTAGGCCTGCACGCACTTGCACAACAGGATTTGACAGCACTTGAATAATGTTAGGACGGACAGACCAGTAGATGGAACTGGTGCTAGGCAGAAACACAAGGTAGAGCAGTTTGGAAACTCTGAATACAGAGATGCTTTGCTGGAACTCTGAGCTTAGAGCGCTACAAGTACAAATTTTTTTGCTGCCTTTGCTGTTAATCCATTGCTGCGCAAATTTACAAGAGGAATGACATACGCAATAAATGAGGTCTAGGATCTGTGTCCACATCTTTCCTTTCCAGAGAAGATTTTGAACCATGGGAAAATTTCAATCACTCAGCAACTTCTTAGAACCTGAACTAGGTGTTTTATTCACAAATGACCATATATACCGTATCTAAGACCATGCCCCATTATCCTGTATTTTCTGCATATTAAACCTATATGATAGGTCTGAGTTTAGGATGACTACATCATGGAAGGGTGGTAATGTCAATAACGTCCCTGTACTGTAAAAGAACAAGATTCATTCTGAACAGGCCATGCGTAGTACAAACAATCCTACTGTTTATATTTTGTAGGATTTAAAAATAGAGACTGTAGTGATAATGGGTGAAAAGAGACAACGTAGCTTTTTTAAAAAGGTCTTCTATGAGTTTCTACATCTTCTAGATAAATCGATGTCATAAAGAATGCTATATTTTAACTATTACTGGCCTAGAGCTCATCATTGTTTGTCCGGGCAAGGGAAAGAAAACCTATGGTTATGCATATGCAAGATGTACCCTGCACAGTACCTTGCAGTACACAAGTAAGTAAACAAAGTTTTGACATATCTATATAGGTATATATTTATCTATCATGCAACCAACCACTAGTAAACAAGATAGGAAAATACTCTCATTCCTTACCTTCTTTGCTATTTAAAGAGAAATATTTTGTGTATTTGATGGCACTGTCAACGATAATTTAAGACTGACACTGAATTACGTGTAAGAGTACTGCTTTTAACCTTTATTCTCTAGACATTTCTCAGTTTATTCAAGTCAATGAGAGTTCTGTATGTCAAAGAACATCAGAGAGGTAGGAGTAAGATGTTATCGTCTAAGCCACTGAAACTCAAAAATTAGTTCAGAGAAAATGTAGGTATGCTATAAAGATGACACTAAAGATAAAAAGTGCTGTGTTTTCTATAAACATAATGGCAACAAACAGTTTTTGCAAATGTAGACAAATTGAAAATGATGGATTGTAATCATAACATTGCTGTCATTTCTGGTAGTTTCTAAAACAGAAATAATACTTTCTATCACTACAGATCATGCAAACTATGTGCTAAAATAACAGAAGTTTGCTAAATCCCAATTTCCAAACAGATAGTTTTGGACGGGATATTAGACAAAGTGCAGATACCTGAGGTACTCAAATACTAAAGCTGGCCTTTTTTGTTTATAATTATTTAGCTTCCTAGATGATGATGATCACTTAAGATATAAATCTGAGCTGATACATGCATTTTCATCTGTATGGTACGCCATCAACTTTTACAGCAACAGAAAAAGAACACACGTCTTTACGGTGTTTATAACAAACAGAATTAAGGGAGGATATAGTCTCAAAGTTGTTACACAATTTCTTTGTTATGCAGGAAAAACTCCATAAACCACCCCATTTCAAAATCTGTTTCTTATTAGGCAGTTACATAAAAAGAAAATAAAAATACCGTATGATTTACTGATATGCATTTTGTCCAAATCAGATTAGTTTATCTCTTTTCTCTATCCAAATTTAAGTACTTTAAAAATGCACAGCTACAGCCCTTTTTTGGTAGGATTTGCAAAACAACTTTCATTTTTGACAGCACTAGAAAAACTAAGCATCAAAACCTAAGCTATTAAGTAGTGCATATAATGTTCACGTTAAGAAATCAATTCTTGTTAAAAGCAGTGGTAACCGATGGGGTCTTTCTAACAGAGGCCTGATCCTGCCGTTGGTGCTCCCTTCTTGTGCACAATGTTTTCAAAGTTTTGAACATAATTCGTGCAGCGTCTTCCCCTGTAGAGCTGTCCTCAAATTTAGATAAAATAAGGGAAGTGCTTAAGTTTCGGTGAACGCTTAAGTCTGCTCTTCTTCAAAAAAGCACAATCTGACTAGACTAGAAACCACTTGTTTGTGTTAGAAATCTTTTAACAAAGCAGAACTAATTTCCTATCACCTGTTCCTGAAGTAACATAAACTTTGATCTATAGAAAAAGATACGTGTGCACACAGCAGCAAAAGGCACTGATGAGATGTTTTCTGGGATGCCATACGTACATGTAGTCATGCATGCGCAAGCAGATGAAAAGCACGAGAGGACAGCCATGGGAAGGACTGGGGAATAGAGACTCCATCTACATTTTGTGCAAAGACTGAGAAAACCCGGCTTCGTTAGTCCTACAGAATGAATGCTGAGAGAGGATATGATTGCAGTCTATTAATACACCCCAAGATAAACACCAGGGCGGGAGAAGAGCTATTTCAGTGGAGGACAATGTTGGCAGGAGAACAAATGACTATAAAGTGGCCGTAAGTTACAGTTATCCTGGAAACTGGAAGATTTCTAATTAGGAGAGGACTGAGGTTCTGGAGCGGCTTCTCACATCAGCAGTAGCGAGGGCAAAATACGGAAATATTTCCCAACTAAAACTTGATCACTTTGCGAAAGGGACTGTACGATATGGCTGCCTGTAACTGTAGAAGACGGTGTGCAGCAAGCAAGCAGATGCCTCCCCGTCCTATGTTCCTTCAATCATTACTAGCTCACAGGCCAGACACAGAGTTCATTCTGTAGGAAGTCTTTTTCCTGGTTCACAGAGAAATTGAAGATTTTACTAGTGAATTCTTAACAAAGTTACACAGGATGTGCAATTTTAGCAAATTAATCTTCCTACAGGAACCTTAATTTGTTTGCCTCTCCTGGATTTCTCTGGGTATGTCTTCAATTTTCATTACCCGTTCTTTAATCTCTAATGCCTCACACTGTAAAAATACCTATGAAATAAATAATGCATTTCTGGTCCAACTCTGTCGCATTCATTTGGGACTGCCTCTGCGAGCTGCAGCTTGCACGTATTGATCGCCAAGGGACCTGTTGCATTCGTTTGGTTTCTTACGCAGCACAGCACAGCCCTGCCCCATATTTAGCAGTTGTAGTTCTAATCCCCTTGTTAAGTAATGTATGCTATTACACGGTCCTATCTCTACATTTTGCTGTAACATGCTAAACTAAGTGTGTTAAACACAGAAATATACAAACCGGAGTATTTTCATCTCCTAGCAATGAAAGTTTCATCATTTCTTCCTAGAGGAAACTGCCTTACTCAATGTATATTGAAATAATATGAAGTAAAAATATTTTCAAGTGCCACACCCAAGACTGCAAATGTACTTTAATTCCAGTTTTCGTTAGAATTAACGAAAGATACACAGCTAAAGTCCACGAAGAAAACACTTTAGTCTATGCATAACAGCGGGGGGAATACACTCAGCTAGAGGTCATCTGACATTAGACTTGATTTCACGCTGACCCTGCTCAGCTGGCAGATGCTTTTCCACCTGTGTTTCGGCTTATATATATGTCTGACATCCTCAATGGCAAATTAACTGTAGCTAATTCTATGCAGATTAATTCTGCTAAAAGTCACACATTTAGAGGGTAGGAGGTTAAAGCCATAGTGAAGTGGATGCCAGTAATGTCCACATCTGCATTTCCTAGAGTATTGGCAGCACTTTAATTTCCTTGGGACTCTACATAGAATATTGTTGGAGTCGTGAAAGTTTAAGCCAGCAACACGCCTGCATCCAGCTGAAACTTGAGAGGATGGAGAAACCTGGCACATTGTGGCTTGGGGCCTCAGAAGAAAAAAACCTGCAGATTGGTGAGTGGTTTTAGTGCATGCTGGTTTATACCTCTTTTCTAAGGAAATAAATATTGCCAGTTTTGCCACTACAAAAAAGTTCTGGGAGTCCAAGACAGCCACATTTGCCAAGTATAGCAAACCTCTTCTATGAGACGGAAGACATTTTGCACCAGATATACTTGAAGCTTGTGTTACTGCAGCACTGATTCAAAGTCCTCGTCCAGTGTAACAGTTTCTTCTCCTTTGGCATATGTAACTTGTTATATTTTTATTAATATGGCCACTGCCAAACTGACTATACAGTGTGCTGCCCAAAAATGTATTTTACATAATCTCTGTGATAGAAAATTATATAGTAGCCATTTTTAAAGTTTCCAAAATCTACTTATCGTGTGCCTAGTGAATATCTTTTGTAACTTTTATTAGGCAAATGAAACAGCATATTTTTTCCATCAGCATTGTGATAAAGAATAAATTAAAAGAGCCCACGGCTAGCTTGGCACTTTGTCAAGATATTTCTTCAGTGTTACTTTAAAGAACTGTTTCAGTCAAATTCTGTGTTACTAAATCAAGGAATGGTGAAAATTTTCATGAAGATTTTTCCAGAATATTGTAATTTCTTACCTGTGGGCAGTCTTTGATGTAGTGTCCCTTGTTAAAGCAGAGGTGGCACAGGTAGTTAGGAGGTGGCCTCTTGCTGGGTTTTCTGGCTTCTGAAGAGAGGGATAGGTCAGAGAAATGCTCGGTGAGGGAGCTTAACCCATCCACTATGTTATTAAGAGAGCCATAAGGTGATGCACTCTTGTACAGACTGCTGCTCAGAGCCTGCAAAAGAAAAGAAAGAAGTCACATGATACACAGTACTGTATTAAGGATTGTTCTGAGACTGACCTGAGTAGGGGGAGGATAAAAATAGCAGGAAAAAATGTGATTTTATTTTTTTTTCATTAAAAACATAGCTGCATATTTGAAGAGAGCCGTATACAGGCCATTAATAAAGGGGTTTCACAAAAGTAGTGCAATGGAGCTGGTCACCCCACTGCTGAGGAAACTATTGAGCTTTCCACGGTTCATTTAGTCCAACCTTTCCACCAAGCAATAGTAGCTTTCTTGTGTTTGATCGTACCACGTTCATGATACGGTTAGAATATGCAGGCAAAAAGCTGAAAGAACAACCCACAAAAGGGAAAGTTTTGTGTCCAAAACTACTTACAGGATCAATACTGAAGTCAGGGAAAGGGAAAAGAACACCAAGAAAAACGTAAAGTAATTTTTAATTTCTAATCTGGTTAATGAGGCAGTCAACGTGGAGTCCCATGTTCAAACAATAACAAGAAACATTCAGATCTACATGTGTCTTGGACTTTCTAAGGGGAAACCTGCTGTGACTTACACATTTCCTGATAAACAATAAATACCTAGTTTTTGTACTTCACCTCAATCGGATCTCCACTCTCTCAATCTGCAAATCAAAATCAGGAGCTCCTAACTTGCCATTCAGTAGTTTTAGAACAGCAAGAAACCCATAATCACCTAAATAGCTAATCTCCCTAATGGAGATAACAAGGATTTGTTCAGTTTAACGTGTTAAGGCTGAAAAGAAACTGTGTAGTAGGAGTTTAAAAAGTAAATAATAACTTAAAGAAAAAAAAACCAAAAAACAAATGGTAATGAATCACTACAGAAACAGGGCCAACTATTGACAGTCCTCTCCACCCTGAAATGATGGGACACATTTCACAGGGTGTTTCTACATTAGGTCTGACACACCTCACAATAATGCCATGCTCATGTCATTCTCCTGGCATCAGAGAATTACTGCGGGCTCATGGGAAAGTGAGGTAAGAATAGGTCCAGTCCGTGCCTCTGTGGAGACTTTGTTTTTCAGTGCTATTAAATCCAAATATTTCAACGGAGTCTTTATATGTGTCATATATGTTATATATGTATTGCAGACATGCTTTGACATTGATTTAGACAGTTTGTGAAATAAATCTGAAATGGAATTGCATTTATCTCAGAGATCTCAAACATTCGGGATGTCTGTGTAGTGAGTGCATTTTCTGGGTAATAGTCACATACCGAAAGAATCATGTGGAAGCTCTGGGCCCAATTACCCGGATGAGGCCCAACTATCACTGAATCCCATCCCACTGCAGATGGTATATATTGAAAATAAAAATTCAGCCTAAGTGGCAGGCCACCGCCATACAGATAATCCCCTTCACTCACCCCCACTATAGTCAAACACAATGTGCTGAGCTCCACGGACCTCTCTTACAAAGCTGAAGCTGGTGCACAGCGGCAGGGTCAATTCAAAGGGGCCACAGAGAAGAGTCTGACCTCATGGGGGACCTCACGCACATCCTGCCACTGAAATGCCCATCATTCTACTCCCCGCACAGCACAGTTCTGTGCTGCTGCGAGATGTTACGGCTGCCGAGAGGAGAATCAGCCGCTTGGTTTTAGGGGTTAAACCCACACATTTTGAAAGGAAAAGCTATTTCAAAAACAAACAAAAAGGTTTTAGCTGCTTTAGCCATCAAGCAATGAAAGATACCTCCAACAGTCACAGGAATCTATTTTCTAGGATTTATTGGACGCTATTGGAATGGGAAATTCTTGGCATCAAATTGCTAAAAGGAAGGGGAAGTGCTATGGATGCCAAAATAGTATTAATTAAGGGTATTCAAGAAGTTCTTGTCTCCCTAGGAGCCACTTTCTCTTACATACAGTTGGAATAACGCAAAATCTTTCTTTTTAAGAGCCTCTCTTGCCAAGAGATTTTTAAAGTACTTCACATGCATTACACCCCTCAGTAACTTTGCAAATTCCCTATTATCTGATTTTTATAGAAGAGTGGGCGTATGGACACACAGAATGTGTGAAATCCCAAATTCTTTACCCATTGCCAAAAGCTGGAACACCCCCAGGGGATGTAGGATGCATAACTCCTGCCCATCAGGAGGCTGCTATTGCTGCCCCTAGCGCCAACCCAGTGACAAAACAAACTGTAGCTATCTGCTGCCTTCAGTGGGCTTTGAATTGGACAGTCGGCTCACAGTGGTGACTATTTTCTTTTCTACATATCCTTTACACTAAGCTATTGCCCCCATTATAAGGGATCAATTTGGCACCACGACTGGACATGATGTAATTCACTTCTCCACCAACCCTTCTCGTCACGTTTCAGGTCACTACAGAAATGTAAGGGTTGCAATGACCACAATTTTGCCTGCTCTGTCAGCAAACCTTTACGAACTTTTGTTTGTTTCAAGCATGGCAGCCAGAAGCTGTGTCAAAGGCCAGGATCCCATCAGACCATAGGCTGGCCTGACACGAAACCATAATCTTAGCAGCTACCAACAGCTCTGTGGCTGAAGCGTGACACATGGCTCTGAAAGCGGCCACCTGGTTAGACTGGCAGGGCATTTGCGCCAAAGTTGGACACGCCAAAACATCCAGTCTACACACGCCAGCGTGAAACACTTCCCTATAATCACCCTGAGGCCCAGTGTTAAAAAAGGAAAACACACAAATATAACATCCCAGAAGATGACAGTAGAGGAGAAGATGGACATTGCCGACGTCACTGGTGCTTCAAAGAACAATGAATTCGTTAAGGAAAATTCCTAGACACTCCCAAGATGCGGCCCATCACTCCTGGTACAGAGTCAGGGAAACTGCTTCAGCAGTTCCTGCCAATCTGACCTGGAAAATGGTCTTAAATCAGTTTAACTCTGAGTCAATGTGAAAAACACATCAATCTGGCACTTGAAAGATGCTATAAAGAGCACCAGCACAAACGGTGCTACATCCTGTTGCTCGCTGTGGAAATATCCAGTTCTTCAGAAGGAGATGAGGAAAAAAGCCGTTCCAAAAAGCCAAGTTATATAAGGCTGGTGGTGGGAAAGTTCATTCCGGTCCCCGAAATCAAATAACAAAAGCTCAGGAACACGTAGTGAATGTGATGAAAGCAAATGGTCCATTTCGCCTTTGCAGAAGGCAAAGGGTGAATGAATATTGCTGAGGTACATAAAACAGGATTTTTTTTTTTGTCTGGGGCACTTAATTGAGCAAATCGTTAATTAAGCCCCCACTAAGTGTTTACACTGCTGTAAAGGGGATTTTTAAGAAGAGTTTTGAACAAAAATTTTGAATGAGCTTCACACTTAAAGAGCATGTCCAGGGGGATGATCAGAGTGACAGGGAGAACATTGATGGTCTCAGACAGACAACAGCAGAACTGAAAATAAGAGAGAAAGAGGGAAATGCATTCTGACTCATTCTCATCTGGAGTGTATTGGTGCACCTCTGGGAGGTGGCAGGGAGTCTGTTCCTCTGATGAATTCCACCAAAGGCAATGACTGCTTTGTGTTCATAGTATGCCACTAGCAAAGCCAACCTATTCCTTTAAAAAGCTAACAACAAATAATACCTCTTAAATGGAGTCCCATTTTGAGTTATAACAGGATAGAAAGGATTTAGCAGTGAAAGGGTTAGTGCTCTCAAGAAGCTAAAAGACCACACTGTGTATTCTAATTAGAAGGCTCCGTAGGCCAGCTGCAATGAATTCAGGATTTCCTTATCTTGCTGTACTGGGAGGATGGGGGACCTGGTGGTAAAACTTAGAAACTGGCTGGTGGGAAGCTTGAGCTGATAATGTAAGTTTGTTTGTTTGTTTGTTTGTTTGTTTAAAAAGCTGTTCCAACTTATTGACTCAGTTGAATGTGAACCAAATTGAAAATCTGGTGGTGTACTTTCCAAAGGTAGCCTCTCTGCTCAGTAGATCTTTAAACTGTATCTGTTGGTGGTGTTGGGAAGTAAGGCTTCCTTTGTTATTTGTTTGCTAAGTGTTTCCAGTTAAAGGGCACGTAATCTGTAAGGTTGAAGTGTGGTCCTTTGTAAAAGAGGCAGCTATTGTCTTCTGTTGCTCCATTACTCTCATTTCCAGTTGGGTAACATATGTGAGTGATTCAAGAGTTCCAACATCTAACTCACCTCTAAGAAATTCCCTAGTTAAGTCAATGATCTGGCAAATGTTCTTGATTCCCTTGGCTGGTCCCTGCCTTTCAGAGACAGCTTTTGGGATTGATGTGCCAAGAAGTGGATAAGGAAACACTGAAACAGAATTTATCCCTTCAGCTTCTTCTTTAGAAACGGTAAAATGTCGAAAATAAAGACAGTTGTATTGTTAGGAATATGCTACAAAACATTTGAACAAATAGGTGGCAAATCTTACTTTCCAAATTTCCTACTGCTATGGCTACTGCATTATTTGTAAAGGTATTTTTTTGAACAGGGATCAGAAAGCACAGACAACTTTTAATTTTGCGCAAAGGTGATAGGATTATCTGTCTTCCAAAACAGCTGATATTAATAAGCGATGGCAACCTGTGTATGTGGAAATGCCACCTTGTTATTAGGACTTGCAGGACTTAAGAAGCAAAGCTTTTAGATATGGGACTGGAAATGTAGAGGCGTATCTGGAAAATTCAGTTTCTGCCTTAAGTTCAATTTGTGGCTTCTGGACCCTTAGGGGGTACAGATCCACCAGTTACATAAAGCTAGAAAGACCTGTGCTGGTTGAAGAGGTTGATAGGCTGTATCTGGCCAGTTTGGTACTCTTGGGATCATTGGTTTGGTTTTGTTTTGTTTTAATTTAAAAACTACACTTTGCAAAACCTCTTCCCACCTGCAAGTTAAGGGATTTAACATTGAAGCTGGCTGGAGTATCCTACTCCACCTTAGCAGGATAATTTCCTTTGGATGTGGCATCATTATTGTGACTATTCCACCTGAAATCCAGAGAGTTAACACTAAAA